GCCCGGAAGCATCTGTGCTCACCCATCTGCTCCAGCGACCCCTCTTCAGTCAGCTCCCTCAACCCCCACGACCCGGGTGTCCTCGCCCCTCTCCGCTTTCCTTCCCCGTGGAGCACCCATCCCCACTGGCGAACATGCCTGTGGCTTCTCTACAGGGAAGGATGCATTTCCTGGACAGAACATAAGCTCCAAGAGGGCAGAGGGTTCCGCTGGTGTCCCTGGAAGTGACAGGATCACTGGTATCTGCAGGCGCCTGATAAAGATTGTTAAAGAAAAAGATGGAGGCAGGAATGGGAGGCAGAAAAGAGAAGGAAGGAGAGGAGGGAGGGAGAATAAAGAGGAGGAAGGGAGGAGGGAGGGAAGAAGGAGGGAGGGACGAAGAGGTGGGAGGAGAGGAGGGAGAAGAGAAGAGAGGAGGGAGGGAGGAAGGAGGGGAGGAGGGAGGAGAGGAGGGAAGAGGAAAAAAGGGAGAGAGGAAGAAGGGAGGGAGGGAAGAGGGAGGGAAGGAGGAGGGGGAGAAAGAGGAAGAAGAGAGGGAGGGAGGAGAGGAGAGAGGAGGGAGGAGGGGAGAGGAGGGAGAAAGGGGAGGAGGGAGGGAGGGAGGAGTGAGGGAGCAGAGGGCAGCATCTCAGGGGCCAGGCTGGTCGTACCACACACAGGGGCCTCATGGGAGCAGCTACGCATCAGTGCCCTGAGTGTCAGCCCATTTCAGGGTTCAAGTTCATCGACTGCATCAGGGGACTCCAGTGTGCAATTACAGTCAGAAGTGCTTTTCACTAAGGTACATAATGATTCATGCTGAGAATGTAATTAAAATGTTGTGGTAGTTTAAAAATAATACTCTATTAGGATAATACACCAAAATGGCTAATTCAGAATGAGTGCTTCCTGCTTTGATTGCGCGACGGTGAGTTCTGTGCATCAAATACTTTCATCTAAAACACGATGTATATAAATACATCACTCGGCTGTGCACTGGACTCTGGGCGGGTGACATTTGAGAATTTCTTTGCGCCACAGAAGTGTCTGAGAGCAGTATCTCGTGCTGACTCTGGTTTTTGAAGTTCTGGCCTTGGATGCTGCGAAGATCCTCTAAATATCATCTCTGGATGGTCCCTGCAAAGATCGGGGCTGGACACCTGCCTGGCAACCTTTGCCTCTGTCCTCTGCAAATTGCATGGGTCAGAATTCTGAGTTCTGAAAGTGCACAAAGCCTGCCTGCGAGGGCGAGGAAGGGTCTCCAAGCCCCTCTGGAGCAGCCCCGGCAAGCAGACGGGCAGTTTGTGCCCAGACCCCTGCCTCCCTCAGGCTCGAGCAGGACAGGTGGGATCTGTCCCAGGACATAAAAACCTGACATTTGCTTCTCTTACTCCTTATGAGGTCTTGAAACAATGATTCTCTGACCAGCACTGGCTGTAGTGACGAACACGCGCTGAGACCTTACTCTAGTCCAGGCTGTGACCTGGCTGCGTGAGCACTGTCCCGTGGCCGGGCACAGACACAATTGCTGTGCTCTCCTGAGAGTTTCCGACTGGGGAGGTCTGGAGAGGCCAGGGGTAGGGTCTGCAGTTCCAGTGACCACCCGATGGAGGTCCAGGCTGCTGGTCGGGAGCCCCCGGAGAACCTGCTGCCCACACAGCAGCTGTGAGACTCCCTCTAAACTGAGGATGCACCTAGGCCTCGTAGGGCCCTGTGGAAGTTAGTATTGTTATTCCTTTGTGCTAATAAAAAAATAAAATAAAAAGGACAAAGAGTAGGTTGGGAACGTGCTCAGGCTCCCACACTGCACCTGACTCCCGGGCCTGAGTCCTCACTTGGCACCCTGCACATGGGCTGAGCATTTCACATGAGCGAGGCTGTGTCCCGGGCCAGAGCTGCACGGCTGCTGCAGGGGCTTCCCAGGGTGGTAGCCCCAAGGCTCCACAGGCCAGGAGGCTGAGGCAGCAGAAACGGACTCCCTGCAGTTCTAGAGGCGAGAAGTCCAAACTCCAGGGGTAGACAGGCCTGGTTCCTTCTGAGGTCCTGACAGGAACCTGCTCCAGCCTCTGGTGGTGCTGACATTCCCAGTGGTCCTCGGCTTGTAGGAGGGTCACCCCCTCTCCGCCTCTCTCATCCCGTGTGTGGCCTCTCCCTGGGTGCCCATCTCTGTGTCTCCACCTCCTCCTCCCATGACACCAGTTCTGTGGCGCTGGGGCTCTCCTACTGCAGGATGACCTCGTCTTCACTTTACTAATGGTATCAGCAGCCACCACGTCACCAAATATGGGTGCATTCTGAGGTGGTGGAGAGTACAGTTCACCCCAACACACCACTGGCCCCTAAGCCCTCCTCGCCTCCCCCACCTGCACCTCCACTGGCCCCTAAGCCTTCCTCACCTTCCCTGCCCATGTCCCACCCACAGCACTGCACAGAGAGGAGGGGTTGGTGCGAGGTCCACACCAGCTGGTCTGGGCCTGCCCTTCCTCCCTGGCCTCCCTTCTCCACCATGAGATTTGGAGCCTGGGCTCCAGGGAGGGGGCTTGGCAGCCATGCCCGGGCCTTCCCATGTTTAAGCCCCTGCTGAACTCTCTCCTGGGATCCAGGAGGAAGCCAAGGAGAAATCCATGACCTTGAAATCCTCCTGGTGCCCGTCCTTTCCTTGGTCAGGACGAGTGGGCAGCCCAGGATGAGGCCCGGAATGAAGCCGAGGGTGGCAGCCGGCTGCCGTCTGGTGTAAGTCCTGGTCTCGTCCGGGCTCTGCGGGATTCGTCATCCTCAGAAGCCAGCTCCCTGGGGTGCAGGACTGAGGTTGCTGCTTCTCCTCGCTGATTGCCAGCCTGGGTCGCCCTCAGCAGCTGGAGGCCAGGCATGTGGCTCCCACAGCCGGGCAGCCTCCCCACCACCCAGGAGTCTCTCCTCATGTTACATGGTGGCCGCCCAGCTCGGTACATACTCAGGCCTGATCTCGAGAGTGACGTCTGCCTGCAGTTCTCTCAGTTCTGCATGGGGGGCTCCTTGTAGGCCCCCTGGAGTCCTGCCTCCTGGGGCTTGAGCTGTGCTGAGAAGGAAGGCATGAGAGTGTCCTAGGATGGGCTGGGAGAGGGGCCAGGAAAGCAGAGGAAAGATGGTGACTCTTCTGTTTCTTTGTGTAGTGAGAAGCCTCCAGCCGCACTCTAAGCAAAGCTGCTTTCCTCTTAAACCTTGGTCTCCTTGTCTGTTAAACGGGGCGTGACTCCCTCGGGGGTGCTGGGAGTGTGAGATCATGTCCCTGAATCACGGGTCTCACGGTGAGACTCGCTGCTTAACCTCGGTCTCCTTGTCTGTGAAATGGGGCGTGACTCCCTCGGGGGTGCTAGGAGTGTGAGATCATGTCCTGTGAATCACAGGGTTCACGACGGGACTCACTGAACACTCATGGCTGTCGTTTCCATGAACACCCCTCGGTGCTGCCCTGGACCTCAGCATGAACGAGGGAGCAGAGGCCCCCACGTGAACGTGAACATGGTGCCCAGTGTGGCCCACGTGTGGCCAAGGCCACAAGGAGCACAGGAGCTGGGGGTCACCTTCCCGATTTCCCTCTGGAAGTCCTGACTGGAGACCTGCGTTGCTGACATCTGGGCTGTGTGTTGACTGCATTACTGTGGGGGTCTTGAGACCTCGTGCCTGAGGCTCTGCACACGGGGTGGCCCCTCTGCACCTGCTGTCAGACGGAGCTCCCTACATAAGCTCTCTGGCCCCACTGGTCACCTGCTCCCATGCAGCCTTCACAGCAGAGCAGAGGTGGCCAGGGTCCAACCTCAGTCTCTGATGACCACGTCCGCCGCCAGCATTTTCCATCACCCCGGGGCGCTACGCTTCAGCGTGCCCATTGGTGACTGGTGGGTCCATGTCCACAGCCCCCTTGCTTCTCCCCCACCCTTTTAATTTTGATTTAATTTCCACACCTCCCCACCTGCCACCTCCACCACACACCCGTGTGTGATTGGATTATGGGCCCATTCCACTGAGGTTTCTGTTTTCCTTGCTAGACGCCCAACACAATATCTTCTTTCCTGTTCTTCTTTCTTTTTCTCTTCAAGTTAAAATGTACACATATCGAAATAAATCTTAGCTTTAAAGGTTTTGCGGAGACACTCCTGAAATGTGTGTCCCGTTGTGACACAGAACAGTTCCACTGCCCAGGAGACACTTTCTACTTCTCCCCCACGGGTCCCTGCCACCCCCAGGAAGCCGCTGTTGTGATTTTGTTCCCTCGGAAGAGTCGGCCCCCCTCGACTGTCGTGGGAATGGGACCTGCACTGCATGCACCTGCGGCCGGGTCCTGCCGCTCCGTGTGTCTGGAATTCACTCTGGCGGTTAGCAGAGCAGTGGCTTGAGCTGTTTTACTGCTGAGCGCCATCCTGTCGCTCCCACACACCACCTTCTGTTTGCCATTCACCTGTTTTGTTTTGTTTTGTTTTGTTTTGTTGAGACAGAGTCTCACTCTGTCGCCAGGCTGGAGTGCTGTGGCCAGATCTCAGCTCACTGCAACCTCCGCCTCCCGGGTTCAAGCGATTCTCCTGCCTCAGCCTCCTGTTAATGGACAGTTTGGTTGTTTGAGGACTTGAGTTATTGTTCAGAAAGCAGCTATGCCTCTTCGTGCACAAGCATTTTATCGACCGACGTACAGACCAGTATTTTCCTTCCCTTGGATGACACCCAAGAACAGAATTGCCTAAGGCCAGGCACATGTTGACTTTGTGCAAAACCGCCCACGGGGTTGCCCACTGGTGCCCAAACTGGAGGGTTTGGGCCCCTCCACATCTCTGCTGATACTTGGCACTTTCCGTCTGTGTAATTTTAGACATTCTAGAGGGTGTGTGGCAGTATCTCGTTCTGGCTTTACTTTCCATTTTCTTGATGACATATGATAACAGCAGTTTCTGAAGACCTTCAAAAGCATCTGACAAAAGCTACGACTTAAAATCTCCAAGAGGTTTGGAGCGTGTGTGGGTGAAGAATCGAGCCCCTAAGCTGCAGCCCCTCTCCGTGCCCACTCTGGGCGCCCAGGTGTGGACAGGATTCTCCCCTGCTGCGGGTGCTGACGGCTCTGCCAGGTCCCCTGTGCCAATATTGACCAGAGAACTCTGTGTGGCGGGCGCTGGGCCAGCCCCACACTCCTGGCCCACAGCACTGGGCCCATAATCCAACGCTGGTGTGTCAGCACCATTATCTCAGCCTCTTTATTTCAGAGCTTCTTGTTCTCATACTGCTGAATTCTCTCAGAGAAAAGAAAGAAAAAGTCCTTGCTAGGTGGACGGAGCCTCCCCGGAACCAGCACCCTCACCGGCACCCTCGCTGGCAGGCACTAATGAGCTCCCGGGGTTTCAGGCTCAGCAGAGCAGGGGAGACTAAGGAAGGGGTCTGCCAGGTCATGGTCACCCTTCGCCAGCAAGCACACCAGGAGAAGAAACCATGAGGCTGGTGCCAGAGCGAAGCCCACCTTGAGGTACCCGGGCACCCCCTTCCTCATCTCCCTGGCACCCAGTCAGCCTGGCTGTGGCGGGGGTGGTGAGCTGGGCCTCGCCTTGGGCATCCAGTGTGGCCTTGTCTCCAGCAGCAGCTGGAACTCCTGGAAGACAGAGGAAGTGCTGTGTTGCCCGTCTCCGCACTCACCTCCTGGGAGAGAGGAAGTGGCGAGATCTCGGCTCACTGCAAGCTCGGCCTCCCGGATTCAAGCGATTCTCCTGCCTCAGCCTCCCGAGTAGCTGGGACTACAGGCATCCGCCACCATGCCCAGGTGATTTTTGTATTTTTAGTAGAGACGGGGTTTCACCATGTTGGCCAGGCTGGTCTCGAACTCCTGACCTCAGATGATCCGCCCGCCTCGGCCTCCCACAGTGCTGGGATTGCAGGCCTGAGCCACCGCGCCCGGCCTGACTGGTTACTTGGAAATCATTCATTCACACACCCGAGGTAGGTCGAGAAGACTGATGTTCTAGGAGGCGTGAGTAGAAATCACGGGGTCGGTGGGCTGTGACCTCTGGTCATCTGCCTTGCTGCAGCCCTGTCACGGTGGTGGCACTGACCGTGTGTGAGAGGAGCATATGCTCAGGACACTTCCATCCCAGACAGAGAGAAACAGAACCACGAGAACGTCCAAGCCAGGGCCACTGTGGTCAGTGCACATGCCCTGGGGGCTGAAGGGCAGGACATGTGGGGTGGGTCCAGGGAGGGTATGGGGCAGGGACTCGGAATTACGGAGGGGCTGCCCTGCTCTGCCAGATAGCTGGGGGAAGGGAGGCAGATTCTAGGTAAAAAGTGATGTTTATAATAGCTTCACAGCCCAGGCACTTCTGTCCAATGGATGGAGAACAGTTTGCAAAAAAATAGCCTTCAGGCCAACGGTCACCTCTGAGCTGTCAGCAAGATTCCGTTTCCCACTATCCCCCGCCCCCATCCTGCCCACACCTGCTGTGCTTTCTCCAGACTGGCCCAGCAGGTTCCGTTCCTCTGTGTTTCTTCTCCGTGTGTGTCTGGTCTCATCCCCTTGGCCTCCCTGGAAAATGCCACCAGCCCAGCCTGACACTCAGACGTCTCTAGGCGCATGGTGGAGGGACCGGGGAATTGTTGCCAGGCTCGTTATTTCTGAAAAGAGCTTTCACTCCTGGGGTGGCCGGGCTGACCACAGAAGCCTGCGCGTGGCACGGTAGAGCAGACCAAGACAGAGGGCCGTGGCCACTCCGCTATCCCGGCCGGTGCTCTGTGGATACAGAGGGCATTCGTGTGTTTTATTTCTGTCTGCTTTGTCTTGAACGGAGAATTTCTGGGTTCGGTTTTGATTTGTTTTGAAGACGAATGTAGAAAGAAGGAAAAATCAGAGGTCAGAAAAGATGGAGGCCAGTCCGCCTGCCCAGCAGGCAAACTGCTGTGAAACTTATAAATATTGCACCTCGTTCTCTGTGAAGCGCGCTCTTCCGGGAGGGGGCCGTGAGTTCACGTGCACTTTCTGTGCAGTGGGGGACCGGCTGGTGCCTTCGGAGAAATCCGTTGTTAAAAGGGGGTTCTCAGGAACTGTGCAGAAATGGACTTTTTCTACCTCTTCGTGCTGATGTAACTTTAAGGAGAGTTTGGAGGATAACGGAAGAGTCTTGATCTCTCATCATTTACCTTGAAGGAAATAGAGATTTCCGTGCAGGAGCCAACTTTTTTCAACTAGCAAGTTAGCCTCTTTCCTCCGTGGAAGGGAAAGGCCATTTGACCCCAGGACACAGCCTGGAGCAGCTGTGCTGTTTTGTGGGTAGAGGGGGTGGCAAGGGTCATCGGGGCACCTTCAGGGTCAGGGTGGTGTTCAGAAATGCCATGATGTGCCTACTGCTGAGGGCAGGTGGAGCCAGAGCCACACACCAGGTTGTCCTCACCTCTGAGCCTGCCCCGCCACCGCCCCCAGCCTGTCTGCCCTGTTCTCTCACAAAAGAAAAGACCTTGCCCAGTGCCAAGGGTGGGAGCACAACCACCTGCTCTTCATTAAGACGAGGATGACCGTCGCCATTGTCCTCACCATCATCATCATCTGCTGAGAGATGCCTGTGCTAAGCACAGCTGATCCTCACCCCAGCCAGGAAGCAGGTAGTGCCATTCTTATTTTACCACGGAGAATTGAAACTCAGAACCTTGAAGTAACTCTCCTGGGACCACACAGATTTCTGGAGCCAACTGCAGACTCGGGTCAGCCTGCGTCAGGAAAGGTTGCATTCAGTCTTCCTCCATGGACGCCCCGCCTGCCCCCGCACCCCTCCGCCTCTCCGTCCCTCCTACCCCCAATTCTCCACTTGTTGTGGGTCTTCCTAGGCTCTTTGTTGATGACAACCCCACAGAAGAGAAAAACATCCTTTAATATTTATTAATCGATGCCATCCGCAATTCAAAAAGCAGGTGAATCAGAAGGCTCGCGTTTCTCTTAGAAAAACTCATGTTTGAAATAGAATTCTTTGTTCTTTCTCTGTGGACCATGGAGCCCAGCTAGGAAGCAGGTTGGCTGAGCTTCCGCAAACACACAGGGCCTTCTGATCTGAGGGTGTGAGTCAACGAGATAATTCCACCCACTAATTGTTCATCTTTAAAGGCTGGACTACAGCTGGGAAAACATTGGCACACACAGGCCCATGGCCACAAGGCGACTGCAGCCTTTATTCCAGCTCACCTGCTGGGGTGCTGCTGAGAGCCACATTCGCTGTCACCTGCCACATGCCAGCTCTTCCCAGTCGTTCACTCAGAAATTCTTCCACCTCCCTGAGGAGGGGGCACTATTATGCTTCCCATTTTACAGATTAAGAAGCAGAGTAACCTGCCCGGGTTCCCACTGCTAGCGAACATACGCTCCCAGGCACCCAGCTGCGAGGCCTGGTGCTGCCAAGGGGGGAGTATGGCAGGAAATGAGACAGAGGGAGACCCCGTAGCTTTGCCACATCTTATCCCAGAAATACTAGAGAAAAGGTGAAAATTGAATCAACCAACCAATCGGCAACTGTGCCACCTACACAGAGAAGCCCCTCGTGTGGGGAAATTTTTCCACTGGCTTAAGTGAGATGGCTGCTGGTGTGGTGCCCTGCACACACAAGCAAGGTCATTACTGACTCCTCAGGAAACTCCCTAGCCATAAGTCAAGGTAAACCCCTTTTCCCTCCCAGGGAAGATCAATGACACCCTTCAATCTGCTTGAATCTTGGTAGAAAAGTACCTGAAGCATTAACCATCTTTGTCTACAATAATTTACTTATTCATACGGGTCAACAAATCCTCCTGCTGCCTCATCTTCTCCTGCTGTGAGACCAGAAAGCGGCTCAGTCCTGGCTGCCCACCTGCCCTTTCCTCCAGGCTACACCCCTGGGCATGAGCAGAGGTGCCAGGCTTTAATTTTAATGCTGTCTTTGTAAACAGTGCCTTTTAGAGTATATTTGTCAGCCTGTCTTACTTAGCACTCACCACCTTGTCTCCCGAGTAGCTGAGAACATAGGTGTGAGCCACCACACCTGCCAAAATTTTTAATTTTTTGTAGAGATGGGGTCTTGCTACATTGCCCAGGCTGGTTGTAAACTCCTGGCCTCAACCAGTCCTCCCACCTCTGCCTCCCAAAGTGTTGGGATTACAGGTGTGAGCTACCGTGCCCGGCCTCTTTCTGTTCTTTTTGGCCTTTTGGGCTTTCGTTTACCCGGTATCACTTTACTCATTCCTCTATTTTCGGGCTTTCTTTGTTCTATTATTTTATGTATGTTTCTTGTCCACAGTACAGAGCCCAGGGATTGCCTGTCCATCTAGGCAGTTTCTTCTTTGAACGAAACAAGTCGGCCTGCTGGATTTCATGACATGGCTAATGACTTTATTGCTGTCATTTTCAAGTTGATTATTGAGTTTTCTTTTCTCTGTGTTTTCTGGGTCGTCTAGGCACTGCTGTTTCCTTCTGCTCTTCCTGGTGGATTTCCGTTTCTTTGCAGGGCTGGTAACGGTGCCTGCCCTTCCCAATTGCCAGTGTCCATCGTAAGGTTCTTTACCGTTTGATGGAAACTCGGGACCGGGAACGTCCCCTACCCTGGCCAGCCTCCGTCCCATGAGAAGTGGGCTTTACATCACGCCCGTCCTCTCCTTCCCACCCACTCCCAGCCTCTTCCAGTAACATGTGTGACTTTGACTCACCCTGCCCCAGCCCTGTCATGCTAACTCTTAGATTTTGCAGAATGAATACTTTCATTCGGGGCTATTATTTTAGACTTTGCTTGCGATTCATTTCAGAAATATTTCCATTTCCGGATTATTTACGTCGCACCTGTATTCTCCCTCCCAGGTAAGTCTTCACTGTTTCGTGTGTTCGCCTGGACGTGCAGGGTTTGTGGATTTCGTGGCTCGCCGCTCCCTCCTCCAACACTTTCCCAAGAAAGGGTCCCGCAATGCTTTCCCCTCCCTTCGTCCACCGTGGCACCTCGAGGGTGGGGCTCATGGGCTGCGCGTGTCCTTGCCCAGTCCCCAGGTGCCATGCTCGCTGCTTCTCTGTGCCACAGAGGAGAAATCTGACGTCAGCGCCGCCCCTCTCCTTTTGCCATTTATTTGTTCTTTACTGCTGCAGCTTTTAGAATTGTTCTCTTCTGGCTAACATGGTAAAACCCTGTCTCTACTAAAAATACAAAATAATAATAATAATAATAAGCCAGGCGCGGTGGCGGGCGCCTGTAGTCCCAGGTACTCAGGAGGCTGAGGCAGGAGAATGGCGTGAACCCAGGAGGCGGAGCTTGCAGTGAGCAGAGATCGCGCCACTGCGCTCCAGCCTGGGCGACAGAGTAAGACTCCATCTCAAAAAAAAATAAAAATTAAAATTAAAAAATAGAATTGTTCTCCTCCTCTTCCCACTGGGAGATTTCCCTGAACACCCTGCTAGAAGGCTTTTCTCCTCAGTTCCTCCAGATCTGTGGGCTCCGGCCTCTGCCTTGGGCTCCCCTGAGATGTGCTCAGTAGGCAGCCCCTCCCTCTAGAGCTGCCGTCCTGCAGGGCAGGCCCTGTCCTCTCCTCTCCCCCTGCTTCCCATCATATGCTCTGAGCATCTTTTATCTCCCATCCGCTACAGTGCTCATTTAGGTCTCAACAGAGCCCATGCTCTACTTGTGTTTATCTAAGGAGTTTTTTCCAGTAGGAAATCAGGCATTGGCTGTAAAGCAAGGCACATGTGGGACTCGAATCTCTATTCTGCCTGTCCTTGTTCAAGCCACTTCCTCAGCCTCTGCCTCCAACTGCTGTGTCTTTGGACACCCATTCCCAAAGCCTGCCTGCCGCTGCAGCTGTGGATATGCTGCGTGGACAGCCTCAGGGGGGCTCTGGCCTCGGCAGCCCCTGCCTGCACCCAATCTGTCCAAGGTCTCCTTGCCCCAAGGCTCAGTAGTAGAGAGCACAGCTACCACCACCTTCCTCCGCTCCTGGGCCCAGGAGACCCAGGCCCCCAGGCACTATGGCCTCCATCCAGGGGTCTCTATCCAGCCTCTCTAGGCTGCAACTGTTCTGAGAGTCCCCCAGTGCCCACCCCAGGCTCCTGTCAGGTCCAGAGTGGGAGGCAAAAAAGGCCTTCATTCACTTCTAGGACTCCAGCAGGGCTGAGGCCTACCCTCCTCCAGGCCCACCCCACCCTCCAGCCCACTCCCTCCCAGGCCCCCACCCTCCAGCCCACTCCCTCCCAGGTCCACCCCCACCCTCCATCTTACTCCCTCCCAGGCCCCCCCCATCCTCCAGCCCACTCCCTCCTCCAGGCCCACCCCACCCTCCAGCCCACTCCCTCCCAGGCCCACTCCCACCCTCCAGCCCACTCCCTCCCAGGCCCACCCCCACCCTCCAGCCCAGAGAAGCTGCTGGGCTCAGAGAAGCTCCAGCTGGAGCTGGAAGGAGAGGAGACACGCCCAGCCCTCCTGGCTTCCGGAAGCCTGTTGCACGGCTCATTCCCGAGGTGCCTGCTCCACTGGTGTTAACAAGGGGAGTCACCTTAAGGGTGTTCCTGCCAAGGTCTTTCGGAAGTAGTCAGTTCCAGCTCCGAATGTTCATTTATTTTCATAATCCCTCGTTGAATTCGGATGCACAGAGTGGCAGATACACGCTTGATGAGTAACAGCCACTGGTCCTGACGTCGGTACCGTTTTCATGCGCTTGCCCTGTCTGGGCTCTGTGCTAAGTAACCATACGTTTTAACTATATTCTCGCCCTTAATCCTCATAACACTGGTAAACTTGGCACTATTGTTTTTCTTTTTCAGATGGGAAAATAAACGCCTCAAGAAGCTGCACAGATTGCCCCAAGACTCTCAGGAGGTGAGTGGGAGGTGAGTGGCCATAGTGGCGTGGGAGCCCAGGTCTGGCGGTTCCAAAGCCTGCTGGGTCTTCATGGCATATACGTGCTTTGCGGCTCTCTACCTGGTAGCTGCCTGTCCCCTGGACTGTGAGGCTCAGGACAGACGTCCTGTGTGTTTTCTTCACCACATGGCCCTGACACGGCCGTCCCAGGGCCCTCTGCAAACACTAGTGAATGAGCAAACCAGCCAACCCGCAGAGGAGCTTCTCGTCCATCCTCTAATGACCAGGGCGTTCTTCACGATCTCTGGCCACTTGCTGGCTTTGCCCATGAACATGGGATGAGCAGAGGGAGGCGTGGAGACGTGGGGGATTAGTGGGTGCTCTGAGGATGATGCTGGTTTGGGTATCATGGACCCTGGGTTTCATGGGGCAGAGGAAACGGGGTGGGCTGAGCTCAGGGCAGGAGCTCACCTGGCCGGCCCTCCCATGAGTGGCTTCAGCAGAAACCCCAGCTCAGCCCCGGGACACTGAATTGGACACCTCCTGGGGCATTTGAAAGCGGGATCCACAGACCCCAGGGCGCTGAAAGAGTTACTGTGCTGATAGGAGCCAGCAGGTGTGATGGCAGGAGGAACACAGGCCCAGGGCAGCTGGGTGGAGCAAAGGGGGCCCAGCCCATGCCCACCCTGCAGGCTGAGCCTATGGAGCCTGTGTGAGGAGGTCAGGGCGGGCTGAGCAAAGGTAACCATAAGGCAGCAAGGCGTTGCGCAGCTCTTCGCACACCCTCCCCACCCCCGGGGCATCCATCCGTGTCCTTGGGGGCTTCCAGCAGACCCACCCCGGCCAGAGGCCGCCCAGGAGGGACCGCGCTCTGCAACTGTCATCCCCCACCTGGCACCCACTGCCAGTGAAGTGAGTTCATAGGTGAAGGAAGGCGTGTGCATTGAAAGACAGGGATGAAAAAGTTCCATTTTCCAATTGTACTTTCCTCCCTGAGGGAGAGCGCTTTGGAAAGAGTAATGATTGTGATGACAAATGGATCTTAAGACGAGGGCTGGCACATCTTTCCTCATCAATTTCTATTCTTTGGGTCATTAAACCCTGAAGTGTTAAGTGGAAAGATGCTCACTGAATTGAGGCGGCCCTTTGAGGCCACGTAGGGGAAGCGATCCCCAGGCCTTCTTAGTGTCCATCAGATAGCCGTGTTTTGTGAAATCTTTGCACATCCGCTTACAAAGCGGTTTTTAAAGCGGCCTGCAGCTTTGACAGGACACACTGTCAACCCACGTCCCACCTACCCTCCAGCCGTGCCTGTTCCCCACAGCTCTGGTGTGTGTGCCTCGCACACATCATGTATCCAGAGCCCTCTCTGCCCGCCAGACACAGCCATGGGCAGCAAACATGCCCCTAGCAGCCGCTGTAATGTGTCTGGATGCAAAGGACATCTGATGGCCACAGAGCTTGGGCCTCCTTTTCTAGTAAAATCCCATGTCCATGTTCCTACAAGCATCGGTGGTCACCTGGCCAGCACCTCTGTGGAGCCAGTGAGAAGCAGCAGCTCCCCTCAGTTGAAGCCCCTCTTACAAAGAGACAGCCTCACCCCTGCAAGAGGTGCGGGCCCTCCTTTGACGGCTAAGACGGGATCCGTGCCCAGCTGTCAGCTTCCTCCCATGCTTGGGGCCCCCTGCCCTCCCCCTCGCCCCCAGGCCTGGCGGAAAGCACTTCTGGAGAAGGTTCCGTCGGTCTCAAGTCTCCGGTGTCCTCTCTCTTGCTTGAGTTTGAGTTGAATTCCGGGAATGGCTCAGGGCCTATATCCCTGCAGCGGCCCGTTCTATGTGTGGTGCTGCGTCCTGCAGGCTGGGCGCTCCTGGGGGTCTAGACCTCAGGCTGGTCGCTGACTCCCAATGGCATCCACCACGCTGTGTGGGGGCAGTGCTTAGCCAGGCAGGAAGCACCCCCAGAGGACGCTGGAAGGAATGTCCTCACAGCTCACAGGTGACCCTTTGGTTTCCTCAGCCATACCCCAGAGAAGCCTCAGGCATCATCTTTGGGAGTGGCAGGTGACATCCTAGGGTTCTCCTTGTGTAACCTCAGGCACCTGGAGTCATGGCTGCTGCTCCATGCCACCCTGAGTCACATACCTATCGCTAGTGGGCGTTACTGGCCCCTGTGTTTCCCTCGTTCGTCATGTCAGGGCAGGTGGCAGAACGGCCACATCAAGGTCATATCCAAACCCAGGAAGTCCTCAGCGCAACGGAGGCTGACTTCCTGATTCACCTGCTACTGTCTCCCCAGGCCTCAATCAAATAATAGTAAGGAGGTTTTTTTTAAAGGACACAAACCCAGGACAGACAACTGCGGGAAAGAGGCAATAGGAACACATTTTGGAAGCTGCATAGCAGATGCATGAGGAGGGACTGAATTAGCCAAGGCGAGCTGCAGGGAGCTGAGCTGCAGAGGCCGTCACGACCCAGAGGATGTGGATTTATCCTGGGATGTCAAGGAGGGTAAGGGACAGGGCTCCCAGGGTGCCAGGTGGACAGCAGGACTGGGAGTGGCAAGACTATTTCCGAAGCAGGTACGTGGCCAGGTGTTCCTCTGCCCCTAGGTAGCCTGCCACACCCACCTCAGGTGGCATCTGGAGGATGGGGAAGAGACTCAGGACCGAGGGCTCTGGGCAGAGCCAAGGGCAAGAGGATTCAGTGTTTCTTTGTTGTCACAGGACTGGGGGTCAGGGGGCTGTCCCTTTTTTTGGGGGTGGTTTCCCAGGTCACTGGCTGAAAGCACGTCAGACCCCTGGCAGGATGTTGGAGGATTCCTTTTTAGGGAGACTTATGGACTCAAAACAAATGATTCTAAACACTTCCAGACATTTAAAAACAAATAAAGGACTAGAATCAAGCTTCATTAGTCTTCTCAACAGCAACATTTGAAGCCAGGAGGTAATGGAAAATTGTCTTCAAAATTTTATGGGAAAAATAGTTTTCTACTAGAATTTTAACCCAAATGAACAAACTATCAATCAAAACAGTTCAGACACACAATTGTTCAATAAACACATCTCTCACTCTTTCAGTGAGGTGCTGGGGGATGCACCCACAAAATGAGAGACAACGACTTGGGATTCAAGGAACCAAGAATCCAAAAGGAAAGAGGCCATGGGAATCCCCAGAGTGAAAGGAAAGGGAAGCTAAGGAATCCGGTGCTGAAGAGGAAGGGAGGCTGCAAGAGGGGCATCTCCCAGGGAAGATGAAAACACAGAGGGCCTTTTGCATCTTGAGAGGAGATTTACAATTCTCACAGAGAGGTTAGGGCTGAGTTAGTGATATGTATATGAAAAACGAATCCAGTGAAAAAGCAATTAAGTAAAGTCCAGGAAAAACAAACTAAAAAAAAGAAAATTGTTTAAGGAAGAAACTGTAATTATAGTACACTACGTGTCTCAGCTGTGAGTCATATTTATACAATGTCATGACATTTAATTGATCTACTAGAATACTGATCTGTTCAGACATTACAAACAGCAGTGGGTGTGTCAGGGAAGAAAGACCTTGATAACGAGTAGGGACGTGGTACAGAAATGCCGAATTCTCATTTTTCATTATATGAAGTCAGTAGCCAAAATTGAACTAAAGAAAGTCAGCAAATAGAAATATAAGCATGCTATTTAGAAATGTGGGGGTAAACAGGTACAGTTTTAGCTTTTAGGTGGATTGCCTCTGGGGAGTGGAATGGACACTGCCCTGCAGATCTATTGGTGGGTATTTGTGTGTGTGTGTGTGTGTGTGTGTGTGTGTGTGTGTGTAAGATGGAGTCTTGCTCTGTCACCCAGGGTTGAATGCAGTGGCACAATCTCAGCTCACTGCAGCCTCTGCCTCTGGGTCCAAGAGATTCTCTTGCCTCAGCCTTCCGAATAGCTGGGATTACAGATGTGCCACCATACCAGCTACTTTTTGCATTTTTAGTAGAGACGGGTTTCGCCATGTTGGCCAGGCTGGTCTCAAACTCCTGACCTCAAGTGATGCACCCACCTTGGCCTCCCAAAGTGTTGGGATTACAGGCGTGAGCCACCATGCCCAGCCTGTGTTTGCTTTTAAGACTAGTCAAGTGCAATAGTGAGAAGGGCAGAAAGAGTAGAACCTAGATGAGGTTTATTTTCCTGCTTTTTAAAATACAGGGTCTCACTCTGTTGCCTAGGCTGCTATGCAGTGGCAAGTTCATGGATCACAACAGCCTCAGACTTCTGGCTTCAAGCAATCCTCCCACCTCAGCCTCCAAGTAGCTGGAGCAACAGGCATGTACCACCGCACCCAGCCTGGGCTTTTAACCTATGTACATTAAATGTTTAGCTGATTTTTAAAAATCTTTGGCAATTTAAAGAAAGAATGAAAGGATATGCTGAGTTTCTGGTACTTTCTGGCATTTTCCAGCATTCATACAATTGATGGGTATGAATAGTTCAAGACCAGAAATGGGTATTTTTTTGCAATTAGGTAAAAAAAAAATTAACTGATTTTCACCTCATTATCTAATTATTCCCTATTCCTTAATTATCTGTGTGGACCTTGCAATAATTGGAAATGGTAAAAGATGAGGTAGAAAAAAAGTCAAGATGTATGTGTAATGGGCTGTAGTGCTATTTCTGGTCTTAAATGGGCAACAAGGAAAACTGTGTGCTTCCCTGAGCAGGGCGTTGGCTCCTCTAAGCTGTATTCTGTATGTAGGTGTCTGAGTGAAAATTCCACTCGGATAGTTGCAGTGCATTCATGCTCCGTTTAATGCTGTTTGGAATATATATTTAACCAGAAAGGTGATTTCGCCTCTTCCTTTATCTCTGCTTCTCACCTAAAAAGAGAGTTATAGTGTTGAGTCCTGCCCCCCTCGAGTTGCTGCCTTAGTCCAACGAGGACAATGCAGGAGCTCTGCAGGAATCACCGGGGTCTGGGTCTCAGACGCGGCCGGGTGCTCTGTCTTTCCCAGGTCCCCTCACCCGCAGTCACCACTGTGCGCAGTTCCCGGGGAGCAGGGCCTCGGGCCGGGCACAGCAGGGGCCTGTGTTCATGTGACCCTTGGCACGTCCCCCTCATCCCCAGTATGCTCAGGGGCCAATCCCAGTCCGTGGTGAGGACCAGCATCGACCCGGGAACCCTGGGAGCACCAGGCAGGGGAAGAGTGTGAGGGACACCGGCCTTCCTCCCTTTCACCGTCCTTGGTGTCACTGTTCAGCCATCGGCTTCTCACAGTGGCTTTGCTTTTTGATTAAGAGACACATTTGGATTCTGTGTGGCTGGGAATGGCCCAGTCTGCAGGGCAGTCCCCCAGGAGCTCAGCCGCTGTGGAGGGGATCCTAGCAGAGGAGGCTGATGGCCCAGAGAGGCACGTGGTTGTTCCTGGGCCTCTTCCTGCACCCAAATCTGCAAAGAGGAGACCTAAGGAATGGGCTGAGGGCAGACTGTGCCTCTGTGCCTTCCTGAGATGGAGAAGCCAGAGCTGGCTCCACAAGTGCAGAGTCCAACAGAGCCGCGGGAACTGCCCGGGGCTGGCTCGTGGGCACAGGTGGGTCAACCGGCACCGTGTAGCCTGACGGGACTTGAGTGGGTTGCACTTGCCAGACAAGGGCCACCTTCTCTTTCTGTGCTGGCTCCATCGCCCCAGCCCTGAAGGGACAGGACAGGTGGCCCTGACTGTGTGAGGAGCGCAGGGTACGGGAGCCCCATGCCGGGAGATTCGCCCATCCCAGACTCCGCCAGGTACCCCGGACGCCGGCAGGTCCTGAATGTGAGGGGAGGCTGGGGCTGCTGTCCAGGTCCCGTCCCTCCCACCCACTCAGGGCAGCCTCACTGCTGCCAGGTGACCCCAGCTACACTCTGGGGGTGACAGAGTGGGGAGTACCACCTAGGCATCAGGGGGGAAGGCACCCTAGAACTCATTCAGCCCCTGTGTGGGGTAGCGTCTTTGTTTAAGCCAAGGCTAGTGGGGGTCTGATGGGTAACTGAGGAAACAGCTGTGCTCAAGTCCTGAGTAGGGCAGGTTCTGCCTCCCCCATGCTGGACGGGGCCTGGGACCCCAGAGCACCAGACAGTGAGTCCAGGCCTCCCCCACACTGGACAGACCCTGGGGATCCTGGAGGAAAAAGTGAGTCCATGCCTCTCCCACGCTGGATGGGCCCTGGGATCCCAGAGACCACCAGAAAGTGAGTCCAGGCCTGAGTGTGAGGACAAGGACATGAGCCCAGAGGGACAGGACCCTCCCAGGCGCACGGCGAGGTTTGCAGGCAGTTAGAACAAGTGCTAGGGAGGGTCCCGCAGCCCCCAGAGCAGGCCAGGCTGCCAGGTGGCTGCCACCTTCCTTCCCTCTTGCACACCAGTTTCCAGCAGGGCTTCTGTGAGCATTTTGGTTCCCCAAGCAGCCCACAGCAGATTCTGTTTCCAGGCCCCAGAGAGAGTCCATGGCTCTGGTCAACAGGAAGATATGCTCAAAATGAGGTTGTACTTCCTCTTCTGTGGCTTCAGAGACCTGCGCACTGTCTGCCCTGTGGCCCCATGTCTGTTGGTGTAGACAGACTCCGCTCTGATTAAAACATCACTCCCATTCCCTCCAGAGAGCATGTCTTCCCCACCCCTGCAACTGCCTCCGCCCACAGACCAGGGCTTCTCAAACTGCAGCGCCTGCTGGAACCCACAGCAGGATTTGCTGAGACACGGGGGTTGGGTCCCATCCCTGAGTCTCCATCCAGAGGACGCAGGTGCAACGGAAGAACTCGCTGAGCTTATGCATTCCCAGGTGATGCTGATGCTGTGGGTCTGGAAGGCCTCCTCTGAGAACCACTGGCCAGGCTCTTACAGAGATCAAACAGTAGGAGACAGCACAAGGGGTCGCAGTGGTCCGTAAATAGCCTCAAATTCTGCCAGCATTCAGCTTTGATCTTCCCCCTCCTGGTAAACAGGGTTGGGATCCAGACGCCTTCCCCCTCCACCTCAGAAAGGCGCGTCTGAGCCCCGCTCGGCCCCCAGGTGCTGTCCTCTGCCCATGTGCGGCCTCAATGCCGTCTCATCTGGACCTTTGTAAAGAAAGAGGTTTTCAATTAGAGCCTGTGCTGTCTGCGTGCCCAGGGCACTCACCCAGGCGGCCGCACGAGAGGCCCATCTCTCAAGGGCCGCGGTGAAGCACCCTTGTCCAGATGTCAGCGTGGTCTGGCGGCGCAGCGCCCGCGTCTTGGAGGTAGCACATGAGTTGCAGTGAGAACAGCGTTATGCTTCCCTGCCGGCCAGGTCCTCACTGAAAGACTCAGGGAGCCAATTACCCCTCACTCCCCAGACCACCGTTCTGGGAGAAGGAGGGAGTGCAGGTCCAGTGCTGATGAGAAAAACCCGGGAAAAGCAGGCATCATTTCCGCAGATCACACCTCTTCAGGCAGGCCTTCCTTTCGGCGCTCGCTGTTGGATGTGCAAAGGCCGTAGACGTGTCTGGGTCCTCTGGAGGGTGGGAGCCTCCACTGTCCTGCAAGCCTGGCCACCAGGCACCCAGCACAGGCACAGGACTGCTGCAATGGGACGGGCTGCAAAACTGATTGTAAAAAGGGCAGAAAAATGAATAGAAAAATAGAAGGCTTTTCCAGGGTTTGTATCTAGAAATATGTGACCACATAAAATATAAGTCAATGGCATCTCTGCAGAATTGACTTTCGGAGTCACCCAAGAATAAGAAATGTGAGGCACGGCCGGGTGCAGAGGCTCACGCCTGTCGTCCCAGCACTTTGTGAGGCCAAGGCGGGTGGATCACCTGAGGTCAGGGGTTCGAGACCAGCCTAGCCAACATGGTGAAACCCGGTCTGTACTAAAAATACAAAAATGGGTCAGGCGTGGTGGTTCACACCTGTAATCCCAGCTACTCAAGAGGCTGAGGCAGGAGAATCGCTTGAACCCGGGAGGCAGAGGTTGCAGTGAGCTGAGATCACGCCAGTACAACAGTCTGGACGACAGAGTGAGACTCCGTCTCAAAAAATGGAGGGAGGGAAGGAGGGAAGGAGGGAAGGAGGGAAGGAAAGAAGGAAGGAAGGAAGGAAGGAAGGAAGGAAGGAAGGAAGGAAGGAAGGAAGGAAGGAAGGAAGGAAGGAGGGAGGGGAGGAAGAAGGGAGGGAGGGAGGGAGGGAAGGAAAGAAAAGTGGAGAGGGGAGGGGAGGGGAGGGGAGGGAAGGGGAGGGAAGGGAAGGGAAGGGAAGGGAAGGGAAGGGAAGGGAAGGGAAGGGAAGGGAAGGGAAGGGAAGGGAAGGGAAGGGAAGGGAAAGGAAGGGAAGGGAAGGGGCAGAGAGAGAGAGACAGTGTTCCTGGCGGGGTAGAGCAGGGACCTGAAACCCCAGGCACCCCTCCTCCTGCTGCCCTGAGGTCCCAGCCTTCCCCCGGGTCGGGGAGTACAGGGGTGGGTGTCAGAGGCAGGTGTGTTTATAGTCTTAGGAGCACTTTTTAAAAAAAATAGCTTTATTGAATCCTGAAAGCATAGACTTTTGTTTTGCTTACTAAAACTCAGATTTCAGTGGCTGCGACATAGAATTTGTGTGAGGGGAACCCCTAGCCTCATCCTCCAAGTCTGCTTGTACCGTTTACTTGTGAGACAAACCTAAAGGGAGAGGCAGGAGCATAGCCTGAGGCAGGCGTCTCAGACCCAGGGGCACACGAGGAAGCGCAAGGGAGCTGTCAGGGTCAGAGGTGTGACCCTGGAGACCCTACAGAGGGAATGAGGAAGGCAGGAGGGGGACCCCCTGGGCCCTCCCTTTCCCCTTAGTGCCAGCCTCTGTCCCTCCTTATACCCCGGGCTCCTTCCAGTCCCGT